TTGTGATGGTTACACACATTTATGACTGCGCAAAAGCCAAGCACACTGACAGGCTAATTTATACTTCAAATACAAGCAGTACAAGAGGGATTTTCCGCAGACAGTTGTTAGGCCCACTGGCAAATATCGTTTGACTTGTTAATAGATCCTACATCAGAGGGGCTGATGGGCCACCGGCTCGTGATATAGGAAAGCATTACATTTTCAGCTTTTCTTTGTATGGACACAGAAGGTAAACTACACTAATCTCAGACATACTGTTTTTCTCTAGTGCATAAATGTTTGAATCAAGAATTGATGCTGATCTTTCAACAGTCACATCTTTGTTTTCAACTGAACTCCAAGGTAACTGTATAAAACATCTTCAAATGTATGTTTTGAAGAAGGAAACATTGAAGCTTTAGGCCTGATGTAAGTGGGTAAAAATAACAAGACAAAAAAATTAATAAATTGGGTTCTCAAAAATCTGACATGCCCTTCCCATCATGCAGCCTCAATCCGACACATCAATGCAGCTGTATGTTGAAAAAATGAAAGAGAATCAAAATGCCCTGAATCTCCCATTTCCCTCAGCTGGATTTGTCACATAATGAAATGCAGACCGAGTATATACAAATGCATGACTCACTCTATACAAAAAAAGATGAATGATAATATTATGATATTCAAGTTCCATTTCAGGAGTATTATATTGTTGCAAAGCACAAATGAAAAGAAATATGAGGGGAACTGTTTTTATCCTTAAGTCCAAAAAGACAAATCAAAGTCTGACTTGTATGTTCTGTTTACACAGGACCTCTGTGCACTGAAGTAAAGTTAAACAAGTTTAGAGATGATTTAGTTATGTATCATGGTTTATTGTAGCAAGCTAGCAGCAAGAAAGAATCGTAAAAACAACTACAATAAACCAACAACAGCAAGACCACCATCAGTACCAATGAAATAAAAGCTAAGGGTCGGTATTGCAGGCTATACATACTGTACCCCGATTCAGAGGCTGATATGTTTTGGGATATCATTTCAGCTATAATTAGAATAATAATAACTGGTCCTCTACATCACAAAAAGTACAAAATAATCAAATGCATTCAATTGCATTCAGAAAAATGTACCTTAACGTCACAGGGTGCAATTTATCCTCTTCCACTCATAGATGTTCTAATCCTGAGATCTCAACTCTGACAATTGCAATTGCATTTATTTTCTAACAGAAAACTTTGGCCCCTCTACAAGCTGGCCTCTTGAGAAGGGTTCCCACATTAAAGAGTTAAGTATTTTAAAATAAAACGTGTTCATAACTTTAAAAATGGCACTGAAGTTTAGACATGGAGAACATAAAACATAATCAACACAAAACAAAACAATATTACGATATATTTTGTTTTGCACATACACTATTCCTTGATAAAGTACCTTGTTGTTATCACATTTTGTATACTCAAAAGTACAGTGTTTGTGAGTTAGTGACAACTAGTGTTAAAGTAGCAGATTGCAATGACTCTCCTTTTAAGCATGTAGGAAAACTCACATAGGACCCCGATAGGGCTAAAGGCTCACTCTCCAGCAGGTGTTTTTTTTTGTTGTTGTTTTTTTAGGCTTCTGTTATATGAAGGGCTCTGTGGTTAGGACCTGCTCTATCTATCCAAATCCCAGTATCTACAAACTCCTAACTTCATAGCATTTGGTCTGGTAGCTGGAGAGGTGCCAGGTCACCTCCGAAACACTGCAGAGGTGCCATTGAGCAAGGCACCGAACCTCCAACTCCTTGGGTGCTCTTTCAGGTGCAACCTCTCACTCTGACATCTCTCCATTAGTGCATGTCCATAGGATCCTGTATTTCAGCCTATGTGTGAGTAGCTTGTCTCAGTAACAGAGTGTAAAAGTAATTTCACATTGTGGGATTAATCTGTCTCAAGTTGAGAGTACATTACTTTTGTACGTGAAAAGTACAAATGTTGAATGTTTGAATTCAACCCTACTTTTTTTAAATAAAGTAAGGACCTTCTGGCAGATCAAAGATTACAACATTAACTTAACCACAGAAAAAAGGAACTTTTCTAATGGAAAATGAAATGAAAACAGCCGAAAGGGACGTTAAAAAAGTGACATTTTTAATGACATAAAGTGGACATTTCTTTTAACTCCTCAACTGAGCAGTCTGAGAGTTTGACAGAATATATCATATTTAATATTGACAAATGATTCACAAGGAGTTCCCTACACATCCAGCAGATAAAGAGCAACATTAACATATTTTTTTTAAATATTGTTTCTGGTCACCTGACTTATGTCTCTCTTCTGTCCCTACCAACCTCTGAGGGATACTGCACACCAAATTTCTTGATAGCTAACTGAACTGCTAAGATGCTAAGATATGCTAGCTACTGCAGCTGCCTGACTGTGGGTGCTGGGCAAGTAGTAAACAATGGGTTTGCTCTTTAAACAGTTTTCTTTCTCTGCAAACAGGTGCCTTTTGCTGATATCAATAGGGTTGATGGAGCATATTGTTGTACCAAAATAGTAGGATGATAAAAACTCTCTGCTACTAGGCAATTTGCAAGCATGATGACAATGTCACTTAGTGGCTTGAAGAAAGATCCACATACAAAATCCCCTCATACCACTAAAGCTGAACTTATATACCACTTAATAGGCTAAATGCAGATTATCAACAACAATTTTAATAGGATGTCAACCTTACCAACCTCTTTGTGCAAGGGGTAAAAAGTTTCACCCTATCAATAATGAGGGAGAGTTAAAACAATAAACTAGATCACCGACTATATCAATTTTTTTGTTAAATAAAATATAGCTACAGTGTGAACATACAGTACAACACCAGCCAAAAGATAGCTTTGAGCACCGGTTTGTCCCACACAAATACCTATGACAGACACAAGCAGACACCACACATAGGTCTAAATGTAACAGGAGCTGAGAGAAGACTGCCAGGCCTTGGCAGCTGCTTCAAACAGCTCTCAAAAATATATAGAGACTTTCACACACAGAGCTTTTGAGAGGAGCTCATGAGTCCATGTCACTCAATGTTACCTGCAGGGGGAGGCACAAGAGCACGAACCGTTTTGGATGTGTTGGAAGATTCGTTGCCCACTTTCATTTGTTCCTTTAGTGTGAGAGACACTACAAGGGACTATTAGACAAAAGTTAATTTTATCATGATGTGAGAAATGTATTTTTCACATGGTACCACATGATACCACCAAAAAATTACCTGAGAAATAGCCCTTGAGTACTTTTAACGAATCCAATAATGCTTCTTCTCTAATACCAAAACTAAAACCACAGGGATGAAGAAGGTAGGAATTTAATTTGTGTTTTTGACTGACTGATTTTGATTCACTGGAGAAGGTCTGATCCTAAAGATTTACGCAATTCCCCCTTGAAAAAGCCACACCTAAGGACCTTATAGGACCTTAGGTGTTTGTACATAAGGACCTTAAGTGTTCTTTTACTGCAACAGAACGTGCTACAAGAGCAGCGAGCTGATAAATACATTCAAAAGTTTAATCCAAAAGGCAACTGGACTTGGTTAAAGTTCTTGAAGATGTTTCACCTCTGATCTGAAAGCCAGCCAAAGGTCAGAATAACAAGCCGTGTTAAAAACAATTAGTAAACTCTATCATCTGGCTTCTTAAAACAACGATAATCTTGTGTTAAATCACTTAGAATATCTTCCAAAACAACTTGTCTTGTGCTTCTGAATGCAATTAATATGTTGTCATTTGTACATCTGACCACAGCCTTGCTAAGAATAACCCCAAACATCTTAACTTCACAGCAATACAAAAATCCAAAAACTGAATCATAAAACACAATTGAGGATGATTCCACAAACGTCAACACCTCAGAAGGATCTTTTTATGTCATATACTGTAATTCCAGGCCAAGCTACCACAGTGAGACCAGTCTGATGCCAGCCAGGTGTAACGCTATCTCCTCTGCGTTTTGTCCAAGTCTTGTAATGAGGCTGTAATGAGTCATGAAATATTTATAACCATGCTCACCTAAGGCTCCTAAAGTCCTCTTCATTCAGAACAAGAGAGTAGAGAGACATTCTTTATGAAGAACCAAAGATAAGGAGACTGACTTAAATAAAAAACTAAGATAATTTAAATAATTTGTTGTTGTGTTAGTTTTACCCTGAGACCATGTCCACACTTAGAGCACATTGCAAAGCAAGGGAACAATGAAGACATAATGGAAGTCGACTACTTCACAAAGCTATGCAGATAATGATATGCAGGCTACTGATTGTAATGATTCCTAAGATTTATGGGGAACTGAGTGCACTGATATTCGTTGCCATGCATATGAAAGGATGAGACAGATTTCTAACTTACCATGAAAACTTCAGTGATGAAAGCTTTACCTTCCGTGGTCTCTTCCAGCCTCCTAGCCCTCGGTGGTTTTAAAACTTAGCGAACGTAAAGAAACTAAACTAAATGCTTTTCACTGCAAGGATGCAGCTTTAGGAGGCTACACAACTTCTGGTTACAATGTGATGATACGTGAAGACCAGCAGCTACTCATTCGGGATGGATAGCATATTAACCAAACTTAACACCTGCTTTTCGCTATAAACATTAACATTTATCCCGCTTCATCTCACACGAATAACTTGTTGTTCGGTTCAACCTCTCACTCTTGTTGCTGTTGTCACCTTCTTCCTAAAGCTAAGCTAACTTAACCAACAAACAGTACTGTTCTTGCGAGCTGCTAGCTCCTTACTGCTGCGGTACCATGGACTACATAGGTCGCTAAGCAACAGCAAGCGGCAATTCAAAGACTGGGGTTGCTATGCTAACGAGCTAACTTATAAGCGATCCGGTAGCTGCATGTCATGCAACCGCCTGACATTTTTAATAGTGGTATACTTTGTAAGAATGCAGGTAAATACTAAGGCTATTGGCGATTATCAATAACTATCGACTGCGTTCACCCTAAAAACTACAAATACCTGGACCTTCACTATGCCGTCAGGCCGCTACAAGTGTCGTGATGAACTGAGCGCTTAAATAGGAGTGACCTCCGGGTGGATCGACAAGTGGGAGAGTGAGTACAGCAAGCTGTCGAGTGAACATGGTGAGTAAAGGCAGCATGAATATCGGTTACTCCTTTTTTTTTTAGTAATGCATTTTTACGTAGTGAATAGGCCGTGACTATTTGGATGTATTCAACATAATAGTCTTAAAGTTTCGCTTAGTTCCGTAAAGTACGCTGGGCTACAATATTTGAACTGCAGTGGAACTACCTTGGTGCATTACGTAACCTACCTCTTAGGACTTCTATATATCATTTTGTTGTATAAATGAGCTCCTCTTCATGTAATATTAGTACAGTGCTTTTGCAATGAATGCTGTGGAGTGAATGATAAAGATGGCGATGCACTTGATAACCTATATAGACTATATGCTGGTTTTGTTATGCAACAGTGAGTCCTCTGTGGAAGAAGCACAGTCTATTTTTGAACTGACCCCCTGCCTTAGTAAATCCCGATGACAAGAATAGTCAACAACTAGTCCACGTGCGATTTACAATCAAACTGTCACTCTCATACTTGTCCACTTAGTGAAATCAATGCCAGTAGTACTAACAACAGTGTTCTTTGCTTTGTGTCTTACAGGCTGAGCCTATTAGAGTTCTGGTGACCGGCGCTGCTGGGCAGATTGCCTATTCTCTGTTGTTCAGCATTGCCAAGGGAGATGTCTTCGGCAAAGATCAGGTAAAGAAGGGCTTGCTTGCATAACACGCTCAATTCCCCTTATCTCACTAGGCTGTGCAAGGGCCACATCACGGCAGGCTGTTAGTTGGATCCTGACAGCCCCCAAATGAACAGCTGTGGATGTCACAAGTTTTCCAGTTCATGTCTGAGGGTGACATTGAATAGATATTGCACCCCTGTGGAAAACGATCAAATTGCACTTGCTTGTTCATGTGCCTTTGGGTGAGACAGGATTGTCCTTGAAGTTAGTGAAACAAATCCAGTGCCAAGAGTCTTAGGTCAACTTAAAAACCACTTGATCCATTTGGCACAGGCAGAGAGCCACATGGCTTAGGCCGTCACACATATTTCGAGAGACAGCTCCCTACCCGTGCTCTGACTGTCATCTCATTTTACATGGGAATCATTTATTTAAGTGCATTTCATTTGAGTTCACTGTGTTTAATTCATCTCATACCATTCATGCTTACTTTCCCCCAACTCCTTGCTCCAGCCCGTCATCTTGCTCCTCTTGGACATCACACCCATGTTGCCCGTTCTCGAAGGAGTTGTCATGGAGCTTCAGGACTGTGCCCTCCCACTTCTAAGAGGTAGCCATGTTAAGATGGAAAAAACAACTGACACTGTAACATTTTACTATCTACATTTTAAATATTTTTTGTCTATTTTAATGAAAGCTTATCTTTAATGTTGCTGTTTTTTTTTAAAGGCGGGTGTACACACACTGTCAAACTAATTCTTGAAACAGTGTATCATTTTATATTAAAATGAAGAATATATTGTGCTTTTTTAAAGGTTTTAATTTCCTGTCTGGTTGGAATAATAATGTATTGTAGATTATTTTCTTGGTTTTGATACTCTCAAATTTGTTGATATGTTTTAACTGTAAAAAACAATATATCAACCTTACTTTGACCAGTAGTGATAGTAACATTATGAGCGGTTCTATCATTACCACCCCTGTATACAGAGCTCTGTTCTCTAAGCATGTTGCGTCATCACGGCAGAATGCTTGCATAGAATAGACGCTTCCGCATAGATTTAAGCTCTCTGCCTTCTCTCAAGGTCATTGGAGTGGCAGAAAAAAGAGAGACAAAACATTAAGGATTATAGATGCATAACAACATGGATTTACAATTATTGATGATATACCCACAAATAGTCACTGTTACCATATCTTCTAGTTTTGTATTTAGGTTAACGTGTCAGATCTTCTTTCTTGAGCCCACATGCTGTTTTGCTGCTAACATGCTATCGCTGACAAAATGAACCATGCGATTGTTTTAAATCTTTCATCAAATATTTAGTATACTTGCGAATATAATTCACTGTGTTTGGAGCTGCTAACCCCTACGCAGCTTCTCTAATTATCAGAAAATGCGTACACATTTTTTCCTTCTCTGGGACACTTGACAAATGTGGGCAGTAATGTCCATCAGGATTTTGGGTGTCATCATAGTAACCCCTGTCATGACCTCAGTCGTGAGGCGCCATTTGTGCCACCTCCATTGTGACCTGGAATTTTTCCTTTGAATTGATGCTGTCCTTTGCTTTGTTTGGATAGAGGCTGTGAGAGGCCCCTGTATTAACCAACTGTGCTGCAAAGACAACTCTTCATGCACTGAGATGGGCCAGTTGTATAGTACAACACTAGTCACACACATGAAGTTTGATTTCCAGTTGTCATGTGGAAAGACGCAAATGAAGCATTAGTATTTGTGTTCTGTATACTTTAAGGGAGTGTACGGCCAAGTTTGTCGTTGACTCAACTTTTATCACATACTGATAATTGAACATACAGTACCTTCTATGTTCCATGTAGGAATCTACCCAAAAAGAAACAAGTTAAAGGCTTGTAAAATGTTATCCATGTTACATTTTTATATTAGTGTGCTATCTTCTTAAATTCAGAGAAAAGTTGGTATATTTATTGACTCGAAACCAAAACTGAGTACTTGTGAGTCAAGTGTTATCCTTGTTTGGTATGGAGCCTGGGAGTTTGTTACGATTTGGGAAAGCGCTCTTTCAGAATAAAAATGTCATGAAACAACATATTATAGTGTATAGAAATGCTGAGCCAGCACCTGTATTAAATTAATTTGAACTTTCCACAGAAATTGTCCCCACTGACCAGGAGCAGGTGGCCTTCCAGGGCCTGGATGCAGCCATCTTGGTGGGCTCTATGCCTAGGAGGGAGGGCATGGAGAGGAAAGACCTGCTTAAAGCAAATGTGTCTATCTTCAAGAGCCAGGGAGCGGCCCTGGAGAAGTACGCCAAGAAAACTGTAAAGGTAATTACACAGGACTTGTTGACATGCAGTGACATGCTGATATACTGTGGCACCCAATCCCTTTCTTTGCTATATGTGTTGACAAAGTATTTTGCTTCTGGGGAAGTAACGGCTGTGACATTGTTTCCAGGTTGTAAAAATGTTAACCAGTTGTCCTGTGCTTGTGCTGGGTTGATTCCCATTCTTCAGAGCCGTGATGTAACTTTGCAGGACATCATGCAAAGTTACAAGTTTCTTCTCTAATGTTCAGACTTTTTCAGCCTGTTTTCAAAGAAGAGAAAATCCATCCCAGTTAACTTCATAGCACAGTCTCTTCTCTGTTATTAGGATGTTTTGATAATAGGTTATTAACATTATTTAAAAAGCAGAGCAACAGTGGTTCTATTTTTAAAATGTGATTGTGTGTTTTCAGGTCCTGGTTGTGGGAAACCCAGCAAACACCAACTGTCTGATTGCAGCCAAGTCTGCTCCCTCCATCCCAAAGGAGAACTTTTCCTGCCTCACCCGTTTGGACCACAACAGGGCTCGCTCTCAGGTTCAAATTTTCCTACGATTCTTTTGCAGCCAAATTGTCTGTTCTTTGTACGAGCCAACCGTGAAATCTAAATTCTTTGTTGCTCCTTTAAACTCCACCCCTTCAGGTGGCAATGCGCTGTGGAGTTCCTGCCACCCATGTTAAGAATGTAATCATCTGGGGCAACCACTCGTCCACCCAGTACCCAGACGTGCACCACTGCTTGGTCAACATGTCTGGTAGCGAGCTGGCGTGCTTTGATGCTGTCAAGGATGATGCCTGGCTTAAAGGAGACTTCATTGCTGTGAGTTTAAAACGTGTTAAATCCACTGGACTGTGTTACACTTTGCATTGGTACAAGGTTCCTGTGGCAAGTTTTTTCAAAAATGTACGCAATGCAAACTATACTTACCTGGTCTGCTGAGGTATAGGAAATAAACATGTTGAAATATTTTGCAACCTATAGAAAATTGTTGATAGATTTCCTAAGATGAAAAGTAGGAGATGTGTTAGGCAATAGAATCAACTTAATTTAAAAATACATCAGGCCTTTTATAATGAACAGTAAGCAGTGGAATCAGACTTAACATTATGTCAAATATGGATATTCCGATGTTTTTGATTTGTTTTAGCACCATTGACAAACATCCTTTGAGATAACAGCTGCAGATATTTTAGCCATTGTCTTAAATCCTTCACAGAAGACACCAAAGCACAGTTCCATTACACAGGATAACCACTTTACGTGTGCTGCTTCTGCTCACATTCCTATTGACTGCCACATTTCCGTTTTTCAGACAGTGCAGCAGAGAGGAGCTGCCGTCATAAAGGCCAGGAAGCTGTCCAGTGCCATGTCTGCTGCCAAGGCCATCTGTGACCACATGAGAGACATCTGGACCGGCACTCCTGAAGTAAATACCATATTTTTTTTTTAGACTGAAGTTATAATGTCTGTTAATGCCACATGATGCTCAGGAGTTTCTATTACATTTAATATCTTGTATTGTTTTTGTTCTTTTTTTTTTTTTTAGGGTGAGTTCATCTCCATGGGTGTTTACTCACATGGAAACTGCTATGGAGTCCCAGACGACCTCATCTACTCATTCCCTGTCCAGATAAAGGTGAGATCCATCACCTTTTTTTTTTTTTTTTTAATCTAACAAACTGACAATAATAAACAGCAATGAACTACGCTGTGTCTCCTCAGAGTGAGAAACACTTTCAGTTTTTTGAAATGGTAGACCATCGTCAGTGGAAATGTATTAGTTAAGGTCTGTTAGTATATGTTACAAAAATCAATGCTTATGAAAGTGTGCTGTTTTCTTAGGACAAGACCTGGAAGATTGTAGATGGCCTGGACATTAACCCCTTTTCCCAGTCGAAGATGGACGCCACCGCAGCAGAACTGATAGAGGAGAGAGACATGGCAGTGGAATTCCTGGGAGTATGACTAGAACCTTCAAGGCCACCCAACCAGCACTCAAACTGCCCCAAAACTCCAGACTCACGCCTGTGAGAAAGCACTCCACCATCCCCTGCATTACACTGTGTGTGTGTGTGAGAGAGAGAGAGAGAGAGATTGAGTCAGTGTATATAGGTGTAAAGATGGATTTATACTTTTGCGTTGGAAGGCAGAGCATAGAAATAAGCTTCTGCACTAAAATTTGAAGCAGCTAAGATTCCAAACAGTGACCATGATTGGCTAGTTTGGGTTTTCTTTTCCAAATTTTTCTGAAACGTATAAGATTGTTGAGAGTAAAACAAAAATAAGGCCAGTTAAAGAAAAACTCTGAAAGTGTCCCCTTTACAGTCTCAGTAGATGTCTTTGTACTGTCAAAGCCATTTGCACTACAAACCTTTTACTTTCTTCGATTCGCACTGTCTCTCAAGAAGTGAAATAAAATTTTTACCAGGTTAACTTAGACCATAATTTACTGCAAACCATTATTCTCCTTCTCCAGTAGCCATAAGGTCTGCTGTAAACTATAATGCATTAGTATATCTCCACCTTGTTTTTACAGTATATCCTGAAAGTCCACCAACTCTGTAACCAGCTTATTTGCAATTATTTTTCTCTGGGGGTAAGTGAAACATGGATGGTTGTTACATATAGTCAGTGGTACATTAAGTTCTCTAACTCTGAAATAAATAACTTTAAAAGCTGAATTTAAAAAAACGATGTAGTTGTGGTATTATTTGGTGTGTTTCTTTTTCTAAATTTCTTTTGTAAGTGTATTCCCCATTTTGTATGGGCATCGTCGCAGTACAATAAAATAAACAAGTGAGTTATTAACTCTTAGTTTTTTTTTTTTTAAATCAGTGTTATTTTTGTGCTGCAGGAATAGAAGATATTTTTGGAAAATATGTGTTAGACTGCACTTCAATCATTTTAACAACCAATGCAGTATAGAAAATGAAAAATAAGAGATGAGAATAATTTGTTAGAAAAACAAAACTGTTTCTTTTTTTGGGATCTTGAAGAATGGAGGTTGGAAGGTGAATGGGAAAGAAGACCAATATTCTTCTAGTACCAAAATACTGTGCATCACAATAAGATACAAATTACAACTAGTTGGAAACACACTGTAATGTGTTTAAGTGTGTGTGTGTTATTATATAAATTACTTTACATAATTCTGGAGGAAGTCCTACTTCAATGCATCATGCCAATCATTTTAACAAACCCAATATTCTCTAAGCGATTTAAACTTTAGTACATCATAAATATAGTTTAATCTGAAGAACAGTGCAATGTCACAGGTCCACCAGACGGGGGCGGACTAGCCTTTTTTTCCCCCTCGCAGAAGCATGAGGTACGATTATGTAACATTTGTAATTTGTTAAATTCACAGTGTGTCATTATTTGAAGACAATGACTAAAATATAGGATATGGTAACAACAACATTTTCAAAGGTAGACTATTTTTTTATTTGCGACATTTTTGGGCATTCTTTAACCCGGAACTGTCAGAAATCATATAGTACGTAGCTTAAATCTATTGGTAGTAAAATCTGCGTCACAACAAAAACAGCCTTTTGGTTGGCTGCCATCCACATGCAACGTTCCCATTCGCTTCTGTCCAGAATGGCACTGGTGTAAAATATCTTTTTTTTTTTTTAATCAGTTTTAACAATTTATTAAAGTTATATTTTGTGACGTCGAAAGGAAACATATGCCCGATATTTCAGGGTTAAATCCTTGTCGATTTTTGCAAAACATATTGTGTGCACCCCGCTGTCTCTTCTGAGGAATTTGCGTGGTCCTTCAAACCTGCAGGACCAGGCCGACCCATCGACTTTTCTTCCGCCAGCACCCTACAGTCACACAGTAAGAAACTGCTTTAAATAAAATAACATTGTATCACTTTGACACTTAGCAGCATCATTTTATTTTATTTTTTTACCCAAACCAGTAGACTGAGGATTGTATCTTCAAGTTGGCTACTGCGTATCCTTTTTTAGACATTTCTCGAAAACGGTGGTTTTTCCTCGTGTGTTGTTCATAGTACCTACGTTACCTTGAGTTGTCCTACCTTGTAGATAGTGTTTAAATTCATCATTTCCTGAGTACATACCGTCCCTCTCGGCCCATTAATCCATCAGTCATTCATTTCCGCAGTCTCTAGCCTCTGAAGTTCCCCTTCAGGCAGCTCATGCTTATGGACTCGGTAGTGTGCATCTTCCCGGTTAATAATTGACTGGATGTTAGACGCCAGTGTAAGTGGACTCTGGTGCAGAAAACGGGCTCAAAAAATCGTTCGACTATGTAGCAATAGGGTAATAAAAACGAAAGCAGGGGGGCGAGGCAAAAAAAGGAACAAACATGACCAGAGGTTGGGAGTCACAGCCATGAGGATTTGTGACGTGGTTTACAGTATTGGGGTCGGAAAATAAGGGCAGAAAACGCAAGCACTAAAAGATCATGCAAGAGCAAATCCAGCTTCATGTGCCTGGGCGATGTTAGGCTGCTGTCCAAGAAGACAAGCGTGATAGGATCCTTGATTTTGATCGTGCCTTAAAATGTTTTTTACACATCTGAAGGAATGACCATTTGGCGCACAAGGCAGCTCAAGGAAACTTTTTGATATTTATCTACGTCTTTGTCAGTGACACCTCGTCTTTCACTGTGAATCCTCTGTTGGAATTCTTATTTTGACCGTCTCATTTGGTGTATTGGTGGTCAATATCTGGCAACTGAAACATGGCACTTTTTGTGAGCGGTAAGTAGTCTTATGGAGGATATAGTCAGCTCTTTATCTTAAGTAAATGACCGAAGCTGTGTTTATGTTTCTTAATTTAATTTCCACATTCTGAAGAACCAACGTTTTTAAATCTGTTTCTTCTCATAAGAAAACTTGAAGTTTGTCTCACATAGTTTATACTGACTCATTCATCACACATGTCAAAGTGTAAAACACTGCTCAATGCCTTAATGAGAAGTATTTATAGTCTTGAGTTATACAATGGCCATTGTACTATGAAACTTTCAGACAGCTCAGTTGACAAGTCAAAAGTCTATACATTATGACATCGAGCATTTTACTTCTTTACACTTCCTTTTAGCTGTTTTGATCCATTACGAATTCCTTTTTCTGAGGTTAAGTTAATGTCTTAACCTTTGATCTACTAGAATTCAAACAAGTACTTTCAGCTTAAGACAGTACGAAAATTAAAAAATAAAAGCCTAACTATTCTAATTATTAGATGTGAAATAATGGCATTTAAATAAATATGTGATTACATTTATCGAAAATTAAAAAAAAAAACTCCTTTTAAATGTTAGGGTAAGAAAATCAGTTACCCAATATGTTGGTCTGTTTGCATTAGGATGGAAATATCAGATCAAGGGCTTCACTTGTATTCATGATACAACCTTGAAGTTTGAATCCTCAAAGTGCTCAACAATTACAATAATTACAGTACAATGTTTAATTTAATAATGAACTGTCTTTTTCCTAATCAGTAAATACTCTCAAAAGATCATCTAGTAAAAGTCACAACTGTTTTAGAAACAGTTTTTTCAAATCTAGCAAATTTTGAATGCCATTTGTTGTTCATTATCCAAGTTATAGATGAACCATTTCTACATTTACTAACATAGTTTCTTTATGAATCAATAGATTCAAAGATGTATCATTGACAAAGTCACACTTACAGTTCACACTTTTGTTGTCCTTAATGAAACAAGTTAGTGTTATACCAAACCTGTACATTTCTTTTAGCTGTAGAAGCCAGTCAGTGGTGAAGAGGGATTGGTGTTGTCTCATTTTACCCAAGAGGTTAATTCCCTATAATGTCATTATATCTCTGGTTCCAGAAGCGGTGAATGCTTCTGTCGTGAAATTTCTCCAGGTCATAAATATACTATTACCATTACAATGAGAAATGAGTCACTGCTTACTGAATCCTGTTTGATTATCCTAAACTTGTCAGGCTTTGTGTTCTTTCATCGTCTGATCTGCAGATGACTATGACTTGTGTTTAGCAATAACGAAGATAATTAGACTGTAATTGAAATATTTAGGCTCAGAATTGCTTTGTGTACAGATATGATTAATTGTCCCTGTCGTATTGACAGAGACGCAATGACTAAGAGCTTTTCTAGTTTCTGTCTTTGCTTTATGTAATACCATAGTCTGATTATTATTATTATGTTTAAGGCTGATACATAACAATAACAATCAAGCATCAAAAACACAGCGCAACAACAGTTCTTCTTCTGACCACTGTGTTGAATTTAAAAGTTGAAAAACTAACTACCTGATGGTGAAAACCAGCTTGAAATGATCTCTGCCGTTTCTGTACTGTGATGACCAAACATCCAGCCTGTACACTATCATAGTTTAATGACGCTTAGAGATATCATTTTTTTGAACATGTTGTTACGCCCCACCGCCCTCCTTCAGAAGATTATCTTTGTTTTCAATCACTGAGATAACAGGTTCTAAAATGATTCCAGATATATAGCAGACCTATTACATCACTGCAGTTTAAGAGATCCACCCTCTGACATTGCTTTATTCCTGTAGTGTAGTAATAATCATGTGGTATCATATAAAACAGTTACAGATTGCAAATTACTACTATTTATAGTAATTTATTATTTTATTTACATAACATATAAGGAAAACAATGGAAATGTAATCGTGACATCAAAGCGTACAAGCTAAGGCCATTCATTACCTAAAATAAAAGTTGACCTCTGTGAGTTTTACGTCAAACAAATGTGAATTTTGAGATCAAGAGGAATATCTTTACCCCTCACTTATCTGTTTGTTCTCAGCATTTTAAAACCGTGTCTCACATCATCTAAGTGTTAAACCTTGTCCCACATCTTTCCCCCTTCCAGGTCTGAGTAAAGGAGAGCCTGACAGAGGGATGGCTCAGTTCCAGGAAATGATGCGGCAGCAGCTGGAGAGCTCCATGCACTCAGAGCTGGAGAAACTTCTGGACACCACAACAGGCGCAGAGAGAGAGGTAGCACAAAAAATCTCTCTCTCCCCCCCCTCTGTTTCTCTCTCTCTCTGTCTGTCTGTCTCCTACCCTCTGTTTCTCTCTGAACATCTGGTTGTGATTTTAAGGGTTGTTTGGTCACACATAACTACTTGGAAAACACAGACGTGACACATACTGCAGCACAGTGCCAATGAGAGTTCCACCTATGGCTTACAAGCACGTATTTGCGTAAGTCAACGTCATTCAAATTTGAAGGCAAGGTTTTCATGCAAGTTTTTATCATAACTTAACTAACCATTAGAGGCCCCAAGCCAAAATTTGACCATGTAGACTTATACTGTTAGCCCAAAACGGATTCTTGTCTCGGGGGTAGTCACTCCCAAGCCAAAACAGCAAATTATTGAAAGCGACTTTGTAATATTTAAACGGTCTCCTATAAAGAGTTATCATTATTTATTCCTTTGGTATGAAACAACCACAGCCCTTGAGACAAAGCTGTTAGTTTATAATCTCATCATTACCACTTGGGGTTTGGCAGCTGCCTCCTTTAGACATTATCCAGGCTCTTTCAAACTCCCAGGAATCACAAAAGATGTATTTTATACAGTAAGAGAAGAGGTTAGTGAGTAAACTCAGGCGTGACCAGTACTTCATACACAATTAAATGTAAGGGTTTTCAAAGAGAAGTCTTGTACTTCACCAATAGTTATGTAAGGTAAATGGAAGTCTGCACAGCCGTAGAGTAGAGTACACACTTACTTACAAAGTGGTTGGACTGACTGTTAACAGTCATTCAGATTTTGGATGTAGTTCCTGTTATATGACTTCCTTGTTAAACACAGATCGTATCTGAAAGAGTGTTTCCTTGCTACAGCTTAGAAATGAAATCTAGTGAAGTGCTAAGATTTTACTGCATTCTTATCTGCCTACTGAAAGAATAAAATGTGTCATACACAAGGAATACTAGTCATTGGAAATGATAATGGTCTCAGGTAACCAAAGGTAGCTCTAAATACTTATGGCTGTATCCTCAAAATTCAATACACCAGAAGAACTGAAGTGGAGCGGGTTCATCAACTCAAATGTTATAGCTAATGTGTTTCACAGTTTAAGGTCTGGGTATAGATACATATTTCACTTCAGTGACGGCTTCAGATGGAAGAGATTAAATCTCAGGTCTCACTGGTCCATATAACCAAACCCACTTAACCTGACTGATGGTGTTTTATGGCTTTCCATGATTACAGCAATACAATTGTTTCGATTCCTTGATTACTGGCTCCACTGTTAGAAAATTGGTATGAGGAGAAATGCACTGCATTCAAAAGATTATGGCTAATGATACAAGAAGGAAAGGCTTTTTTTTAAATTTAAAACCACACTGTCAATCATTTATGCCTAAAATGTTATAAATGTTTACTAAATGAGAAAAATTGAAGGTAGAGGTCCGCAATGTGCAAAGGTTTCTGGTACTTTGTCTAAATGACTTAGTTGTAAAAACCTTGTCAGTAATAGGTGCACTTTGAGAAGCCATTAGTACTTTTTTTGTGAATTACGACTACGGTTGGGCAGTCATGTATCAGTGAGTTGATAAATATGAGTCTGCCTCTGGGATGAATAACCTACAGCCAAAATCTTTATTTTGCAGGTGTCCAGGAAAGACTTTGAGGGGTTCAAGAACCTGTTCCACAGATTTCTGCAAGTGAAAGGGCCTTCAGTAGAGTGGACAAAGATACAAAGACCTCCAGAGGACTCGGTAAGTCTTGTTTGTTGAGTTTTTGTGTGTTTGTTTTAATATGAGAGAATGTGGGCATTGTTTAGAGAGAGAGATCAAAAGTGTTGGATTGATGGCCCATACAACAGCTTTTGTCTTTGGGAGTAGTTCTGCATGTCTTTTGTGTTGTCTAGTCAGGAGAACAATTAGCCTGAATGCACCAGAAAGTAATTAACATCAAACTAGGACTGAATGCACAATGAAGGGAATTTTAAAATCAGTGACAATTTTGGCCTTCCCAGGATCAAAGACCCGTGACTGACAGCGATTATAAACGTCTAAAATACATGCTCAGCCTGCTCAAAACTCTTTTTGGTTGTTCATTGAAAATGTTTACCTTACCTTATTGTGTTGGGTTGACTATCATGTATTCTCTACCTTTTATTAATGTCTGTTAACTTTCCAATTTTGTCAGCTTAACATGCTTGATAGCTACAATTATGGTGCATCGACCAGAAGGAAAATCTGGCACCGTGCACAATGCATCTTTATACTTTTGAGTAACTGGTGTGTTTTTATTCTGGGGGTCAGAAAGAGGCTGAGACAACAGCTTTGGATATGTGTCTGCCTAATTGTATTCCATTCTTATTCATTTTCTTACACTGTGGATGTGGACTTTATGAACTACTTAAGACTTTGCAAAGGCTGTTAGTTTTAAGGTGGGCTCCTTTTACAAGCCCTCAGGGTTTTTATTATCACGCCTGTTTTATATGTACATGTCTATTTCTGGGTTTATTTGTGTCAATCTTTTCTTTGCACATAGGGAGCAGTTACAGCAATCAATATCCTTCTCATAATAATGTTCCAGAAACAGATTCATTTGACATACTACATCATAAAGAAAAAAAAAAGTTATAACAGAATGGGTTTTAAACAGGAGAAAGTATATGCCACAACGATTGTAGATAGAAATCCGGGATCCCTACTTTGATATAAAAGGCAACAGTGTTTTAAATAGTGAGGCTCATAACCAAATGCCAGGCAAACTTTTAACCACGTCAAATGTCAATGTCTGGATATAATAAGAGCATGAGTGGACTGTGGAGTGATTCATTATCCTTTGTTGTTCGAACTATTACAAACAAAACTGATGTTATGTAAAGAGTTAATATCAGTTAAGCCAAATAAAAGGTCAATACTTTCCAAGTCAAAGCTGCCTTATCAGCATGTCAGTGGCTTGACTCTTGCATCAGGGTTTTTATCAACTGGGACTATTGGAACCTGATCCTGATCCAGTCAATTACAAACCGTTTGTAGGCTGTACATTTAATATTTACAGAGCAAACTATGGGGGTAGCACTTACAAAGTCAATCCAAGTGCAGAGTCAGCATTGTTTCTCTGAGCAGGATTTCCTTTCCACATTTATGCAGCATTTTAGTTTTTAGTCCCAGGGGATTTCCTCAGGGCTTCTCCTACTGTTTCCTGAACAACAGGTTTGTCTGCTTTGTGTTAACTTCAGAGTACATGAAAAGTGCACAAGTAGTTGATTCCATTTAATCTTGAGGAATGACAATAAACCTGAACTCAAAATGTATTTTCAGTCAAAATGTTAAGCAGGGGGCAGGCAGCACTGAAGAAAAGTCAGTCTGAAGACGCAGACTTCTCAATTTCAAACTCTGAGAAAGATCTTCCTTTCTTTTCACAGTGACTTTAGGCAGAAATCTCCCAAAGATATTGTTAGAGCTTAAATTATAAAGCCCTTGAGAAAGGGACATTACTTAGGAGAAAATCTTGCATGCGCAGAGACACCATAGTGAGAAATATAAAATGAATCAGATGTATTTATTTTTAAATCACTGTGAAGTAAAAGCTGGATGCTTGTTTACTGCCTCTCTACACTGAGGCTGTAAGAGAAGAATTGACGTGTTTTTATTTTGTTGTTATGGTAGAAAGTATTACTCACAAAGAACTGAACCACTGCAGCTGTGAGTTGGTAAAGGGTAAAATCAAATTGAAGACATGCTTAGAAAAAGTCAAATCTTACAGTGAAGAAACGAGAGGCAAAGTATGGATTTTGATGAAGAGACTTTTATCTGCGCTCTGTTAGCAGTGGTGCTGAAACCTTCAGTTTAACTGTTGGTGGACTTGGAGATCATCCATGTAATGACATACTGTAATTCCTCAAAGCCTAAGCCTGAGATCTACAGCACAGAATAATTTATTAAGTTTTATTAGGACAGTAAAATAATTACATTTTCAACTTATCAGATTCTTCAGCCTCTGCCGCTGTCTTTCCCTGAAGTACACCAGTCACACGACCAATAATACTTTGATTAGTGAACTGTTTTAAGTTGTTATTAAACTAATATAGAAAACGTTAGATTAATTATATGTTGCACATGGTTTTAATTTTGGTTCTACATCAGCTTCCATAAATTAGTCCCAGTGTCACATGATTAAACACTCAGCAAACCTGTATCCTGTACAGCGTTCAAACCAGTTTGATATGTGACCATTTGCAAATTGTAACCTTGCGTTGTATCTCAAAATGTGATTTTTAGTTTACGAATGAAAACCATTTGTCTAAAGGCTCATGATTTGACTTGATTTTTATAAGAGAAGAGCCATTTGTGAGGTCAGTCAACCCTGCAGTGATTTGAGGTGAGCCGCTGAAGGGGGAAATGGCCCAATGTGACCCAGAGAGATGTTTTGAACACTTTGTCAGTCAGATGAACTAAAAGTGAAAGAGACAGGAAATGATGAAATAAGTGTTTCTGAAACCTATGACACGTTAAAATTGAAGTCATGTCTACTTTCAGCCTTGCATCATAGGTCAAGCTCTTAGTTTGGATGTGAGTTATAAGCTGTTAAACTAAAATATGACTTCTACAGCAACACTAAAGGCATGCCATGCAAATGTGTTTTTTAAATAGATGCTACCATTAGCTTTCAATCTTCAATTAATAATGTATAATCATTAAATGGGAAAATAATTAAGCATATCCTTACTAACCCTTAAGAACCAGTTTTGACTGTAGTAATGGTTAGCTTCAATGTGAATTTATATGTTACCATAGCAATGACCATATATAGTCATTATAGACATAGCAATATAGGTTTTGTCTAAACCTATTTTATATGTGAAGTAATTTGAGAATTTCAGCAAATAACAACATTGTGTGTGATTGTGAGAAGGGTCTAAAACTGTGGCTTTTAACAAAGTTTGGAAACATGTAGTGCTTTTGTAAGACATGCTGGTGTCCCTCAAAAATATGCCTGCTGAAGTTAAAATATATCAATCAATCACATTTATTTATAAAGAACATTTAAAAACAGCAACAGCTGACCTAAGTGCTGTACATGAGACAAGAGAGCAATACAGATTAAAAAACAAAGCAAAAATAAAAATAACAAGGCAAAACTCACACATACATGTTTGCCTACACACATGCACACAGAATACTAACAATATAATTAGACAATAATATTAAGACATTTGATTGAAGTACATTTTGTAAGAAGTATAAGCAACCTAACTAGGACTCAAAGGCCAACGTATAGAAGTGTGTTTTGAGGTGGGACTTAAAAGATTCCACAGAGGGTCAGACCTGACTGTTGTGTAGGGGCTGAGTAGATCAGTAATATAAGAGGGTGCCAGGCCATCTAGTGCTTTAAAAACAAACAATGCAACCTTAAAATCAATTCCTGAATCGACTGTGAGGAGGAGGTCATAATGGACTTTTAGTAAGGCGGACTCAGGTCGCAGGTTGTAGATTTCATGTTAAAAAATAGTTTCTTAAAGTGAGGGGAGAGTGAGGGGAGCAAATAAGAGAGACAGAAACATGCGAATGCTTTCAATTTTACCAGTGAAGAATTTCAAGAAGTTGTCACATTAACGGCACACCTTGGGTGATTCTGGTAGACGGACAGATGAGATAATTTATATGTTATGGTAGTTCTTTAAAATATTTCAGAGAAATCTTTTGCTCTTGCTGCTTAAGTGCTTGCTGGTACCTTAACAGCTGGTCCTTTAAGATATCATAGGAAATCTGGAGCTTATCCTGCGTCCATTTCCGCTTTTACGACAATCGCTCCTTAAGGCTCTAGTTGTGTCAGTGAGCCAAGGTTGAGATTTTTTTTTTTTTTTGATTTAAAGGGAGCAATGGCCTCTAGAATGGAGGAGCAGGTGGAATTAAATAAGGTAGTGAGTTCCTCTGCGGAGCTCGGGAGGTGAGGCCTCAATGATGTGAATGTTTGGGGCAGCTATGAGGGCTGTTGAAAAAATACTAGCAGTAGAGGAGTTAATGTGGCGAGAACAGAGAACAGGAAGGAGAACAGTTGACTGAGAAACAGGTCGAGAAACATTAAACATAATTACACTGTGATCTGAGAGGTGAGGGTCAATTATTTCCATATTAAAAACAGGACAACCAGTTGTCAAAAATAACCAAGTGTGTGCCCAAGTTTATGGGTGGGACCAGTTACATGCTGTGTGAAATTAAAAGTTTCAATTAAATTAAGAAATTCACCAACCAGTGGTTTGGAAGGACAGCGCACATGGATATTAAAATCACCAAGAATCAGCACGCTGTCATATTTTGACATTATCTGAAACAAGAGGTCTGCAAATTGAGGAAAAAAGATGTTAACAGGTTTAGGAGGGCGATATGCCAAGATAATTAACAAAGGGTGTGCCGTCCATACTTTAAGAACCTGTACTTCAAAACTGGAGAAACGACCCAGCGGTAGGCAGGTTTTTGTGTTTTTGGGTCACGGTGAAGCCTTTGTGAGATTCTCACAGGTGTGGTGGAACTGCGTGAACCTTGATCGAGATTGAGATCGACAGAGGCGTGAGGTGGAATTATACTTTGTGTGATTTACTGCCAATTCACACATACTCTGTGCGCGCCGCGGTCCGTCAGCGCCGCACACTACGTTGTACTTAGCTGCCACTCTAGTCAATCATTGTGTTCACACAGGCGCGCTGCGGTCCGTCTCCGGCGCGAGACACCGGCGGCACTGCGCTCTGCTCCGTTTCAAA